AAAAGCAAAAAAGAGAAAAAACCAGTGTTGAATGTAATGAAACTCCATTTTCTGGGTGAGTCCCGGAGGCTCCCCGAAGCTATCCATGATACCTGCTGGATACCTGCTGGATGGGGTTCTGGGAGTTGTTCTACTCCCCAAGCCCAGCCTGAGGCCAGGCTTGACTTGTGAGAGTTTGGTCACCGGCTAGCCATTTATCACTTTAAATTAAATATCAACACATATACATCATTGTGTGGTAATTAGTCCTCCTTCACCATTTTGAGGATTTTCCATAAGGCTTAAATATTCCTTATTCTTACTTCTAGAGAACATCTGTGAAAAATCCACAAATTCGTAAAGTTTCAAATTGCATTAACCCTGCTGCCGCCATTAGCACGAGAACAACAAGGGAGGAGGAGTGTGGAGATGAGAACATGTCAACACCCATAAATGATACAATCTGCTAAGGACCTTTGTTCTGCCTCTTTTGATATCATTAGATTACTTCTATTGCCGTCTACACCTGACAAGTCAAGACAATCAGAACCTCAGCTTTCTTCTATCAGTATTGGATGTGACCTAAAGCACTACTAAGTTCTAAACAAGGTATGTATGAGATTACAGCATCAACATTGGTGACATGGTCAGCAATTTCTCTTTATATATATACTATATTTTTTAAAGCCCATCTTCTCTCGTCTTCTTCAACTCAGGACAAGTAAACCTAACCTAAGAGGAGCTGTTTGGAATAAAACAGCAGCTTGCCCACCTAATTACTTTGGTTTTTCTCTCGTGCCTCGACATCAGAGACTCGACTTGAACAACATTAGGAGCAAATCTACACACCCAAACATCACATCAAAAACTACACTCACAGCAATATTTGTTTCCACTTTCAAGATGCATATACTCTCACACTTACTTCCTCATCTTCTTGTGAACTTTATTTACTTTCTTAGCAATATCCAATTGTGTTCATACCTACAAATACAGAGCTATTACAATATATTGACAAGTGTGTGCCTAATGAACTCTATATACAGAACAACAAATGTCTTACACTTACTTCCTCATCTTCTTGTGAACTACAAGACTTATTTACTTTCTTAGGATCAATATCCAATTTCTCCAAGAACAAACTTGTGTTTATCATACCTATTCATAATACAGAGCTTCACAACATGCTGCTACAATACATATTTGACAGGAGGGCTGCTGTACAAGCCCTGCAAATTAAGTTGAATATTTACTCTATATATGCTCACCATGAAATAATTATGTGTATTTGATAAAATAATAAACTACAGTCATTAATAAGGTACAACTTTCAATTTCAAGAAGTGCAATTCATGTACAAGTTTTCATTTAAATGAGCACTTTAACAGATGGACAAGAGAACAAAATACACAATATGTCTATCACAAAACTGAACAGAAGCCCAGTAACACAAGCTTGAGACTTCAAATTCAACAAAACTGTGGATGTAAGACAGAATAAAAAATTAAAAACAAATATTAAAACAATTCCTCTGGGCATATATGTTAAGTACCTTATTCCAGGCATTGCCAACCTAACACACACTCCATGCAACCACTCTCTCCTCCTCTATCCATAAATTTAAATATCAAAATGTATTATTTCTAATCATACTTCTCCCGAGTTGCCACAGGCTAACATAACATGGCTGGTATGGATTCTAGCCTACCAGGAACCACGAGCCAGAACCTGGCCCCCCTCACAGAGGTACAAGGAGCAAAGGCCCATAGAAATGCACATGTGATTTGGAGCATTCTATATCTACCATCGACCAGTACAGGCACCCTGAAAGGTAAGCGCCACAAAACAAACCCCTATTCTGGTTAACAATGAAAATCGTCAAACAAGTGGACAGAGCTCCCCCCCAAAAAAACGAGCAAACAAGCATGACGTCACACGAGCCGCGCCGTATGTCTGCACAGCTCCCCCCTCCCCGGGAGGGGGAAGGGGGAGCCCCAGACCCTCGCGCCGGCAATTCTCGCTCCAGTTCTGAGGCTGGATATAAAAAACTGAAAAAAAAAAATAAAAAAAAAAAAAAAAAAAAAAAAAAAAAAAAAATAAAAAAAAAAAATGCCGACCGGAGGGAGGGGAGGGTTGCCGGGGAGCCTCCGGGACTCACCCAGATAATAGGGTTTCATTACATTCAACGCTGGTTGTCTGGGGGGAACCTCTACAGCTCCCCAGAGCCCCTATGACTCCCTGGAGCTACTTCACCAAAGACTACAAAAGAAAAAGGGGACTTACCCGGGAGGCGGTCGGTGCTCCACTAATCAACTCGAAGTCGAGACAACGGGCTGCAACTGCCGACCCAAAGCAACACAAGCCCGAGTGGGCCCAGGAACATTCACAAGATAGCGAGCAGCTAGGACCCCTGTTTGAATGCCAAAAACCCCGCGCCCGAATGTCAGCCCAAGACATATTGCCAACGACAGCAGCAAGACCAGCAAACTTATGAACGTCTTGGGCGCAGGGATAGACCGTAGGCTGGCTGGATTTAATAACTCTGCGGACAACCTGAGAGACACGAACCCACGAACAGGGAAGAAGGGAAACTGGATCAAGCTAAAGCGCATCCCCGGACACAGAAGCCGTGGCGCACCGATAACAGCGGAGGGCCGCAATCGAACACAACACATGGTGAACCCCCGGCCTGACAAACCAAGCATCAACAACCCAAAGACCCCTCCAGAAAGCAGCAGTCTCATTCTTCTCCAGAAAAGAGGGAAATGGCTGCAGACGAACATACCAACGACCACGACCAAAGGAGCAAAAACCTCCATGCCTGAGCAGAGCATGAAGCTCCGCAACACGACCCCCCAGAGGCCAATGCCAACAGAGTGGTTGACAAATGGAATGCATTAGTAAGTGATGTGGTGGAGGCTGACTCCATACATAGTTTCAAGTGTAGATATGATAGAGCACAATAGGCTCAGGAACCTGTACACCTGTTGATTGATGGTTGAGAAGCGGGACCAAAGAGCCAGAGCTCAACCCCCGCAAGCACAATTCGGTGAGTACAGAAAAAGAGCCTTAGCAAAGCAATCCTGAACCGAAGAGGTCACAACAAACCGAGGAGAAGAAAGATAGGAGAGCACTCTGTCCAAGGACCAGGACGGCTCAGGCGGCGCATGAGCAGGCCGGAGGTGAAACAACGCACGAGACAGCTTGCGAAACGACACAGAAGTAACATCGATATCAATAGCAAGCTGCACTGGCTCCGCCAGCGCTGCACAATACGAGGCGACAATATTAGGCATAAGATGACGGTCCTGGGTTAACCAAGAGAAAAAGGACAAGACCACTTGAACCGAAAGCGAAGAGCAACGACGAAGGGAACTGGAAGGACCGCCAGGAAGCTTCATACTGTCGCCGAGAGGAAGCCCACTGGTGGGAAACCAACAAGAAAGCCACCTGATCACCATAGAGATGGTGATAAACACAAGTCAAAAACACCAAACGCGAAGACTCACAAAGAAGTGCGAACCAGCCTCGTACCGGACAGGGCCGATCTCCTGAAAGAGGTGGAGACACGGAAAAACCTCAGGGTTCGGATACCGGTCAAGCAGCGCCTGAAACCATGGGTGGGCCGGTTACCATGGGGCCAAGTGGATTACTCACCCTTGGTAAGTCTCCAAGCGAGCCAGGACCTGAAGCAACAGCTGAACCAGGGGAAAGAGGTACAGGAACCCCCACCTCGACCAGTCCTGCCGAAAGGCGTCGATCCCGACAGCCTCACAGTTGGAGACGGGCGCCATGTAAACTGGAAGACGCCTCGACCATGCCGACGCAAAGAGGTCCACCTCCTGGCATCCGAATGTCCGGAAGAGCCAACTGAAGGAGTCGGCGTCGACCGTCTATTCCGTGAACAGGGGAACAAACTTGGACAGGCCGTCCGCCAAGACATTGGACATGAACTGCCAGGAGAGCCAAACCCCGAGAACTCAGCAGATGAGCCACCCGAAGCGACCAGGCCTAAAGAGCTAAGGACCACATCGAACCCCTGCGGTTCATGCAATGAACCACCGTAGAGCAGTCTGAATGGAGCCGGATCGTCAATCCGTGAGCGACCTGAACCCTTCGAAGCGCAAACCACACCGCTGCGAATTCCTGCATCATGCTGTGGACCCGACGGAAGGACGGACCCCACCGCCCCTGGCCAGCCTGATGAGCACTGGTCACAAAGCCCCAGCTGAGAGACGATGTGTCCGTGAACACATCGATTGAGGGCTCGGGAAAGCGCCAAGGCACCGAACACCGAAAAACCCGAAGAGGAAGCTGGCAACGCAGCAACTGACACAAAGCCCCCAGGGAGTTGAGGGGGGCAAACCAAGAGATTGCTAGAGAGGCGGAAGGGACGTCCCCGAAGGAACGAGAACAGCCAACGAAGCCTAACCCGACCTGGCGGGTAGACCAACATCACGAAGTTCAGGCTCCCACACAGACCCTCGAGGAACCACCGGGTGACCTGGGAACCTCCCAGAAACAGGCACAGGCGAGACCACAGCTGAAGGAAAAACGCCGGAGGAAGAAACAAGGAAGCGGTCCGAACCTGGGAGGGAACCAGACGGGACTTCCGGCAGTTCACCAGGAACCCGAACCCGGTGAGCTGGAAAAGCACCAAATCCCTGGCGAGCAGACACGTGGACCGATTGGGAGCCCAAACCAGCCAGTCGTTAAGGTAAGCCAACACCCGAACACCTAACAGACGCGGACGGGCCACCACGACCCGGATAAGGCGTGTGAACATGCGAGGTGCCAGATTCAACCCGAAAGGGAGACTATGAAAACGGTAGCACTGATGACCCACAACAAAACCGAGCCAGTCTAGGAACCCTAGATGAATAGGGATGTGCCAATACACGTCCTTGAGGTCCAGGGACACCATCCAAGCGCCCGGCTCCAACAGAAGTCGGACCTGGGACAGAGTGGTCATCCGAAACGAGGGGCAAGAATTCCAAGGGTTCAGATGGGATAAGTCCAGAATGAACCGCAGATCCGCACACTCCCGTTTCGTTACTGGAAACGGGCAGGAAACCCACCTAAGGGACATCGTCGTTTCGACTACGCCCAAGCGCACCCATTCCAAGATGACTCGACAGAGCGAAGGAAAGGAAGCGTACCCCATCAACCCCGAACCCCGAACCCACTGCCCCGTCAATGGGGTGAACTGCGAAAGGGCCGCTGACCCTTACGAGAACCCGACCTGCACGCAGAGTGAACACCGCACCGACCAGTCGCAGGCGGCACCGGCGCCGAAACCAACACCTGTGGCCTATCCCGATGAATGGAACCGCGAGCCCTGGCATGACCCCACCGGGAAGGAACCCCACCCGGTTCTCCCGGAGCACCAACAACTCAGACATAGAGTGGCAGGTGGAAGAAGCCGCCTGAATATAACGCTCAACTACAGAAGCTTCAAAAAGCAGAGGACAAAACGGAGAAGACAACCTAAGAACCAGGGCTCAAGTGGATTCCAAAGAGGAAGCAATGACTGCCTGTCAACATACGAAACGCGCAGCGAAAAACAGCAGCAACGCCTCCCGCAGGATCGACGCAAACAGCTTCAACATGGCAGACGATGCCCGGGCAGCCGAGACCAAAGCGCCAGACCCCAGGAACGGCCCCAAGCGTCACCACATCCTCCGCAAGCCAATCTGAAGGCAGCTCCAGAAGGGAAAAGAAATGCAGGACCGAAGCCAAAAAGCCACGAGCGCGCAAATCCTCCGCCACAAGAGCAGGCGACAGGGAAGGAACCTGCACATGGAGCTGTACCACACCAACATTCCACAAAAGGGCAGGAGCGAAGACACTCATTAAGATGCTCAAAATTGCCCCCAGGTAAACCTGGACCACTGTCAATGCTTCGCGCCACTCAAATGTGCGGGTCCGACAGAACGAGTCCCAAGCATCCAACGAAAACAAGGGGCAGTCTGCAAGCCAGGATGACCCTGGAATCTCATAACGCACCCAGTAAGGACACGACGATCCAAACCTGAACGAAGAAGGATCCATTATGGAGACATACTCCGGGTCACGCAGGAGCTAAGCCACGATAGCCGACTGCACCTCAGGCGGAGAGATGCGGGAAGCCGAAAACCTTCGGAAAGACGCAACTGAAGAATTCACAGGGACACGAAACTGAACCCGGGGAGAAGCAGAACCCAAGTCCAAATCATATGCAAAGGGGAAAAGAAAACCCCACGCTCTGCAACAGTAAGCCCCGCTCTGAAGGACAGAAAATCCAGGCGGGGTCCAATGGAGCCCAAGGCCCCCAATTCAGCTCCTCCCCAACCCCGAGAACCTCCACACCAGGCCCCGGGGCCGAATCGTCCTCCAAAGCCCCGGCCTCACAAGAAAAAGCCAGGGCAGCCAAAAGAGCCAGAAGGGAAGGGGCCCACTGGTCAGACCCCAGAGCATCGGCAGGAGGGACAGACACTAATGCCTCCACAACCACCCCGGATGGGGCAACCCTCGAAACTGCCCAAGTCTCAGAAACCTCTAAACCCAAACCCCTCAGATGCTTAGGAAGCAGGGGGAGGAGGAACCAAATGAACCACCGAAGGGGAAGAACGAGGGGGCACGGATGGAACCAAGGCCAAAGCAACCAACACCCCCAAGTCCAAATCCCTATAGACAAAGCGTGGCAGCCTCGGGGCGTCCGGGGAAGCGACAACCCAAGTGCGTTACAACAACCTAAACCTACCCTGCAACGCGCGAACTGCCTGTACCTGAAGCAAATCATCATCAGACTGGGTGAATTGAGTCATGAACAAGCAACACACCTCGCAGGACTCAGGGTCGAATGTGTCACAGACCCAACAGGCAACATGACGGAGGCAAAAAGGTGCATGTCACCCTGAGATAAGGGGACAGAGACTCCTCTCAAACTCACACAAAGCAAGAGGGGACGCAAGGGTCTCCTCCAATGGACCCGAGTGTCCCCGCAGGGTTTTCCAGGGCCCCTAGACTGGGTCTGTTAAGGGTTATCCAAGGCAGGGCACTGCTAACTGGCACCCAGAACTACCAAGCAAACTGCTAAAAGCTGAACCCACGGGACGTGTCCACTCACGAGGGCAAAGCAGGGGGTGCCACCACACAAAACGACCCTAATATAAGGAGGGTGGGAGAACACAAGGCAGACCCCCCACCAGGCAAAAAGAAAAAGAAAAGAAAAACCACTGAAGTGGACAACATACCCAGAGGGAACAGAGCCGGCCGCCGTTATAGGTGAAAACTACCTATGCAGTACCCTGCGCCCCACCAGTGTGATAACTACCACTTACCCTAAGAAAAACAAGGAAGGAAAACCCCCAAACACTCAGGGTGGCCCTACACCAAGCAGCGAAAGGCCAACAGAGGTAGACCCAAAGGCGACTTGTGGAAGAGAACCCCAAGCCTCAAGAGCAGTACTTACAAGGCACTCAGGGAAGGAGACCCTAAGCACATGCGGCCTGAGTACCTGAGAATAATACTTCCAGCTCACACGACTACCGTAAGAGAAGCACTGAAAAACAAGGAATAGCTCTGAGAGAAGACTGGAGCTGGAGCCACACGACTATGCACAATCCCATCAGCTGAGGAACTGAGGCGAGGATCGCCGGCGCGAGGGTTTGGGGCTCCCCCTTCCCCCTCCCGGGGAGGGGGGGGAGCTGTGCAGACATGCAACATGGCTCGTGTGACGTCATGCTTGTTTGCTCATTTTTCTTTTGGAGATTTCTGTCCACTCGTTTGACGATTTTCGTTGTTAACCAGGATAGGGGTTGGTTTTGTGGCTCTACCTTTCTGGGTGCCTGTCCCGGTCGATGGCAGATGTAGAATGCTCCAAATCACATGTGCATTTCTATGGGCCACTGCTCCCCGTGCCTCTGTGAGGGGGGCCAGGTTCTGGCTCGTGGTCCCCGGTAGGCTAGAACTCCACCCACATCGACTGATGCAAAATAGTTAGGGTATCCATACCAGCCATGGATAACTCCAGGGAGCCATAGGGGCTCCCCCAGAAAAAAACAATTTAAAGAAAAGAACAAAAAAAAAAAAGACAAGAAGCTGACTGGCGAGCAGAAGTAGCACCGCACCGTCCAGATGAAGAAGGCACCAGGAAGCACCAGGAGGCACCAGCACAAAAGCTGCACCAAAGGCCCACCTTGACAACAAAAACCAAAGCCCCGGCACCATAACAAAACATGAGCCAAGACCAGCAAACTGCAAGCCAGAAAGACCCTGAAACCACAGAGGAGGCAGAACCAGGGCACACAGGAGGTAACCAAGGGCCTCCAGAACCCCCAAAGGGGACCCGAGAGGAAGAAAACCTCTGGAATGAAACTGAAGAGCTCAAAGGAACCTGAGGCCAAACACCCACATTTGCTGTCAGAAACGCACCACACAAAGGAAGGGCAAAACACATCACCCAGACTGAACACCCAGTGAAACAGCCAGAAATGGACTGAAAACCGAGAGACAGAAGGCGTGAGAGCAAGCAAAGCAAACGGCCAGGGACACTGGGACTAAACCCCAGGGCCCAGACCAAAATCCAGACAGAAAGCACAAAACTGGGTGAAAAACCAACACCAGAGCATTACCAGAGGAACAGAAGGGTAGAATGCCCTAGAAGAAAGAACAAAACAAGGAAATGGCAATGAGTGGATATAACTTCGAAGGTGGTGAAAAAACGACCCCAAAACGCAAGCGCACACTCCCAGGCACATGTAAACAAACCACAGCGCTGTCCTGGCAGCCAGGCGGGGAAGCGACCAGCAGAAAAGAAAATGGTCACCATAACAAAAGGAGACGCGGCTGACACGAGATCCAAGAACACGCCAGCAAATGTGGGATAATAAAGAATACGCGAGGGACGAAAAAAATATAAACCTGCCCAGAAGGTAGAAAACCCCGTCAGAAGCAAACAGCCCAAAAACTGTTAGCGGGCTTTTCCCCACAGCCCCAGGAACCTGCTACAGAAGCCCCAGGGCATAACCATCCTCAACTCCATAAACTCCTCCCCTCCCCGTCCCTAAACCACTTCCCCGTTGAAAAGCAAAGGTGCAACAGGTACTCTGAGAGAGAGCTCTATCAACATCAGAGGCCCGAGACTGTTCAACACGCTTCCACTACACATAAGGGGCATAACTGGCAAACCCCTCACAGTGTTCAACAGAGAACTGGATAAACACCTCCAAAGGATACCTGATCAACCAGGCTGTGACTCATACGTCAGGCTGCGAGCAGCCGCGTCCAACAGCCTGGTTGATCAGTCCAGCAACCAGGAGGCCTGGTCGACGACCGGGCCGCGGGAACGCTAAACCCCGGAAGCACCTCAAGGTAACCTCAAGGTAACCCCTGAAGAAAAGGCAGAGTTCAGGGAAAAGGCAGTAAAGAAAGGGCTGCTGGTAGGACCCAGGAGCCTTGGCCAGAGGAGCAGGCTTGAATGTCTCCATCCCCAACCTGAACAGGGCAGCCCCCGAAGCAGCCTGAATCTCAGCACCGACTAAACCCCGTCCCGACCCTGAGACCCACAGACTTGCAAAACTCCAGGTCAATGGTGTCGTTGACCCATAAGGCAGCATGATGGAGAGAAAAGTGGTGACTGTCACCCTGAATCAAGGGCACACAGCAACCTTTAAACCTGCATGAGGTGGGCTGGAACTGTTAAGTTCCATAGGTCACCAACAGAGTTTTCCAGGGCCCGTAGGCTGATTGCTACGGGAAGCCTGGGCAAGCATGCACGTTTCCATGCGGGTGGGTTGAGGCAGAGGCCCTGTTATCGCAGGCTTTTCACATTCTTTGGAGCATAGATACTGGCATTATCCCTGACATATTAAAAACAGCAGAGATAGCACCACTCCATAAAGGAAGAAATAAGGCAGAGGCAAAAAATGACCGATAGCACTAACATCGCACATCATAAAAATCTTCGAGAGAGTGCTAAGAAGTAAGATCACAAAATACATTCACAGCATCTCCATAACAACAACATGGTTTCAGAGGGTGATCTTGCCTATGACAGTTGGTGGACGACTATGACATGGCACTAGATGCCATGGAAGACAAACAAAACGAATTTAAATGGATTTCGCAACCCAAATGTGAATGGTGTTAGTGCGCATCACAGATGGATCTACATATAATAGAACCCAATGTGTAAATCGTTTTACCAGTCAACTGCGCTTCACTTCATATGAAGTGTATGGGTACCGCGCACGATTTGAATGGCCCGCGGTGTAGCTGGGGGTCCCATATGCTGCCCAGGGGCTCTAGTAAACAGCGGCCATTTTGAAAAAAATTCCCGCTCACGATCCGAAGGCATGGGAGGCCTCAGTTTAGCGAGAGTCACCATGGCGAGCGCACGGTCAAACGCCTCACGGGCACGCACCACTCAGTCCCTCACCCCAGAGCAAATAGCCCACGAATTATTCTCTGAAGGTGAAGAAAGTGTGTTTGACGATTCAGACAACGATGAGGATTATACACAGTTGTCGGGTGATAGTAGCAGCAGCAGTGAAAGTGAGAATGACCGCCATGCCATGGCGAGGCCTATACGCTCTCCCATGCCTCCTCGCCCATTTTCTACCCCAATTCTACCACGACCTCACAGTTCCTGTGGATATTTTCTGTTTGAGGGTGACGAGTCAGAGGGAGGTGACTCCTTTTCTGGGTTTAGTGACTCAGATCAAAGTTTTATTGAGCCTGTGGCTGGTACCAGTGGTGTAACTGGGCGAGAAATTGTCGCGTCAGCAGCATCTCGCCCGGCCAAGCGCCACCGCATGGCACCACATGAGGGACCAAGACCCTCGTGTTCACGTGCATCCACCTCACGTGCGTGCACACCCACCTCACGTGCACCC